CTTTGAATCTTCACAGCAACCCAATGAGGTAGATATGGTGCTTATTCCTATTTTACAGGTGGGAAAGTAGAGGCTCAGAGAGGTGAAAAATATGTCCGGGGTACCTAGCTATTGTATGGTGAGGCTAGGGTTCAAACTTGGATCTCTCTGGCTCAGAGCGTCAAACCACTCTTCTGTAACTCTGACTTCGATTCAAGAACTCTGTTGCTCACCAAGCCGACTCCTGGCATCAAATCCGGCCCTGGCATTAATACATGGCTGCAGGAAACACAGCTGTTTGGAGGAGGTAACAGCTGTTCATTCATGTACCACTTCACCAAGCCACACGAATTAAAACACCATAAGGTAAGGCTCACTCAGTCTCAAACACCAGGATAGGTAATTATTGCTTTAATTAAAGAAAAAAAAATACATCCCTCCTTTTCCTGCTCAAAAGACTTGAGTATTGATTTCTGTAGGAGTTGAGGGAATGGTTTGGAGCAAGACATTTTCATATGTTATTGATGATAATTCTATATTGCATACGTTTGAAAAAGAGACAGATCAGGATCAGGATGCCCTCCATTCATTCATCCATGGAGTCACTCTTTCAAAGAATATTTACTGAATACCTATTATGTGCTAAGCCCAGCTCTCAGCACTGGGACACCATAGGAAACTTCCACAGACAAGAAAAATCTGTCTTCTTTCTTTATTCTGAGAGACGGCTTGCACATCTTTGCAGCCGGTGGGGAAAGGGTCCTCTGATGAAACGTATCAACTGGATTTCACGCAGTATTTCTCAAATCACCCCCTCAAACCCGTCTTCCCTTAAAGGCCTCCAACAGGATGAAGAAGAAGGGAATGTGTACTCAGTCCTTCGCGAAGAGCCAGGGAAAAGTGCAAGTGCTTTCCCGGCAGTCAGAGCGACCACAGTCTGGTAAGGATCTGCTTCTACCTTCTCTTTTGGGACACGCTTTCCCACTCATCGCCTCTGTCCTCACTTGCTAGGGCTGTCATAACAAAGTGCTACACATCGGTAGCTTAAACAACAGAAATTTATTTTCTCGGATAATAATAAATCTCTCGAGGAGCTGGAAGGGTTGATTTCTCTTGAAGCCTCTCTCCTTGGCTTGCAGATGAGTTGCAGAAGCCTCTCTCCTTGCACCTCTGGTGTCTCCCCCACTTTTGTTTGTTAATTTTGAGAGAGAGAGGGAATGCAAGCAGGGGAGGGGCAGAGAATGAGAGAGAGAGAGAGAGAAGAGAGAATCCCAAGCAGCTTCCACCCCGTTATTGTGGAGCTGGACTTGGGCTCCATCTCACGAACTGCGAGATCATGACCTGAGCTGAAATCAAGAGTTGGATGCTTGACCGACAGAGCCACCCAGGTTCCCCTCTCCCTCTTTTTATAAGGCCATTATTCATATTGGATTGGGGCCCCATCCTTATGACCTAATTTATCCCTCATTACCTCTTTAAAGACCCTGTCTCCTAACAGTCTTTCTGAGGTCTTGGGGATTAGGGCTTCCACACAGGAATTTTGGGGAGACACAGTTCAGCCCATAATAGCCTCTCTCCCTCTTCCCAAGTACCCAGTAGGGACATAAAGCTAATGAGCACAGACAGCCATGTGACCTTGGAGAAGCTCTTTAAATCCTCTGCCTACATTTGTTCTTCCAAAATGGAAGGACTAATAATTAGACTCACCCTACTACGTATGGTTGTTAGAAGGGTTAAATGAGTCAACGTGTCTAAGGTCTGAGAACGATGCTTGGTACAAAGGAAGCACTATCTAAGTGTTTATTAAACGTTAACATTAAAAATTCATTTTTACTAGAGGCACCTGGGTGGCTCAGTCGGTTGAGCGTCCGACTTTGGCTCGGGTCAGGATCTCATGGTTTGTGGGTTCGAGCCCCACGTCGGGCTCTGTGCTGACAACTCAGAGCCCGGAGCCCGCTTCAGATTCTGTGTCTCCCCCCACCCCTGCCCTTCCCTCATTCGCACTCTGTCTCTCAAAAATAATTAAATGTTAAAAAAATTTTTTTAAAAACCCCTCACTTTTACTAAACTGTTAAGAGGGTGTTATTTATTCTCCCAAAGACTTTGCTTTTTCTGGACAATACTTCACATCAGTGATGGAACAGCCAAATCACAATAGAGGAGTCATATATCATTGAGGGTGCGGGCCCTCCAACATTCTTCAAAGCACACTGTTTAGCTTACAAGATCTAGTTTAAAATACTAACAGTCAACATTTTTTTTTGAGTAGGCTTCATGCCCAGCATGGAGTCTGACGTGGGGCTTGAACTCATGATCTCGAGATCAAAACCTGAGCTGAGTGAGATTAAGAGTCAGCGCTCAACCAACTGAGACACCCAAGTGCCCCAAGTAGCCTGCATATATTATTATTTTTTTAAAGCCTATTTTTTATTTTTTTAATTTATTTCTGAGATGGGGGGGGAGAGAGAGACAGCGTGAGCAGGGGAGGGTCAGAGAAAGAGGGAGACACAGAATCCGAAGCAGGCTCCAGGCTCTGAGCTAGCTGTCAGCACAGAGCCCGTGGCGGGGCTCGAACCCACAAACCGCGAGATGGTGACCTGAGCTCAAGTCAGACGCTTAACTGACTGAGCCACCCAGGCGCCCCTAACCTGCAGTTATTAAATGCTAACGATGTGCCGGATGCTGTGCTCAGAGCATTACCAGTACGGTCTTATTTAATTCTGTAAGGTGGGTACTATTACTATTTCTCCTTTACAGATAAGGAAACGGAGGCTCCAAAAAGCCTCAAGGCCAAGGTCTCCAGTTAGTGAATGAATGGAGCGGTAGGGTCACACAACTCCGGGATGAACACATTAGAGACTGTCAGATGCAGGTATGGGGGTGTGCATGCCTTCTCTTTTCTCCCATTCTCTAGCACCCTTCTTTCTCCCCCTCTGTTGAGTGACACATCCCCACGGCCAAGACTGCACGCTCTTTGCTACAGAAAACATCCAAACGGCTGGGCCCCAACCCAGCGCCACCTTGCGAGCCTAGCATTTCGAGGGGCAGGCTTCCAAACAGGGTAATCATCGTCCCATTAAAATTAATGTCCATGAAGTGAGCCGTTAAAAGCGTGCAGATTAAAAAGCGGGGGGGGGGGGGGGGGGTGTTCAATTTAAATCCGAAGGGCTTTTCAAATAGACACTGTATCTTCATTCTTGGAACGCTACACCGGGCCGTGGATCAGGTCCCCTCTGCACAGACTAGGGGGATTAAGGAGGTGAGTCCCCAGAGAATGAGGAAGTGATTCTGGCCAGAAGCAAAGGGAACCAAGGTTTATCCAGGGCCCACTGCATGCCAGGTGCTTGGCATACATTCCTCTCGTTTAATCTCTGCCCCAGTCCTGGGAGGGAGGTGGTATTATTCCCAGATTACAGGGGGCAGTATAAAACCATGGTTAAGCGCTCAGAGCCTGCAGCATGTTGTCCTAATTTAGATCCAGGTTGACTCTTCACTAACTCTGCAAACTTGGGCAGGAGGCCTCACCTCCCTGTGCCTCAGTTTCTCCACCTGCAGAGTAGGCTAGTAAGAGCAGAAGTGTTAGGGGATTTACTTGGGGCAGCTAGGCAGGGACCTACGCCCAGTAACCTGCATGGTAGGTGCTCAGAAGGTAGGTTTTGACCCTCACTAAATGCAGGAAACCGCACTGCCGAGCTGGGATCTGAGCCGCGGCCATGCCCAGGCCGGAGGCCAAGGGGAAATGTCGCCTCATGAGAAATGCAAACCCAAACGATGTTCATAGTCTTGTGCATCTTTTCCAAGAGACCCGAGGACTCGGGCCTTGGCAGCGCTCTGCCCGAGGGAAGGAGAGGAAGTTTTCTCTTCAGGTCCCAGGGAGCCGGCTTGGAGCCATCTCTGGCACCTCCAGTTTTCTGAATCCCAAAGTTATCTGAATCCCATTGAATTTAAGAAGGACGCATTCTCTCCGCCCCCAAATCCTGAGTGTCCCTCGCCCATCTGTATCTTCACTACCAGGGACAACTCCGGCCTCTCCAGTCTAAAGTCCCCTGAGCCCCTCCCCCTCGTCGGCCCCAGGGGGTCTGTCTCCACTGCCCATTAAACCGGGATCGCCGCTAGGAACTGTAACCCCGGCAGGAAAACAATACTCAAAAAAAAAGTAAGTTACCTTCTAGAAAGCCCTTTGCGAGGGTCCTTCGGGTGCGGGTGCGGTGCGCCGCGAACGCGCGTCTCTGCGCCCCTCTGGGGGTAAAGATCGACCCCTCTCCCCCCACACCCCACCTCCATCAAGCGTTCGAGAGGCGCTGGGGGGCGCCTAAGGGTCCGGCCGGGACGCCCAGAGTGAGGTGGGGGCGTGTGTTGGGTGTATTCAAATCCGAAGCCTATAGGTGCCGAGTCAGACCTGAAAGTGGGCAAGTTGGGTTGCATCTGGCTCTCCCGGGAGATTTTGACTCCCCCCACCTCCCCCAAACAACACAATAGCCACGGCATATTTTGAATAATGCAGCCGAATTCGATACCAGCTCCATCCCAAACGGCAAACAAGCCTGCTTCCCTCGCCAAATCGGAACCGCAGCTTTATTCGGGAAAAAGGGAAGGAGAGGCCTTCCCTCGCGCCCTCCGCCGCCGCGGGGGGTCCCACGCGACCCCCCCCCCCAAGCTCGAGACCTCCCCGGCGGGGGCCCCGTCGCGACCCCGCGCGCCGCGCTCCTCCTCTCCCCAACGCGCGCCCTCTCGCTGCCGGCGCCGCTAGGGTTAAAAGTTACCTCTCGGTTTCTTCTGCCTGCAGCCCCCCCCCCCGGGGGCCGGATGATGTAACCCCCCTCCCCGCGCCCTCCCCGCCCCCCTCCACCATGTGACACTTTAATTAATAATAGCGCCGTCAGCACAACAAACGCACAACACAAGGAGAAACTTGGTGTCCAGGGGAGGCCCCCGGCGGCTGGAGCGCGGCGGAGGCAGGCGCAGAGGCCGGAGGGAGCGGAGGCGAGGGGCGGCCCGAGCGCGGGGAGGGAGAGCGGCGAGCGGTCATGTGCCCGTGCCCCCTGCACCGCGGCCGCGGCCCCCCGGCCGTGTGCGCCTGCAGCGCGGGCCGCCTGGGTCTGCGCTCGTCCGCGGCGCAGCTCACGGCCGCTCGGCTCAAGGCGCTCGGCGACGAGCTGCACCAGCGCACCATGTGGCGGCGCCGCGCGCGGAGCCGGAGGGCGCCGGCGCCCGGCGCGCTCCCCACCTACTGGCCCTGGCTGTGCGCGGCCGCGCAGGTGGCGGCGCTGGCGGCCTGGCTGCTCGGCAGGCGGAACTTGTAGGAACGCGGGGCTTCTTGGTGGCGCCGGAGCCGAGACCCAGCCGGAGCGAGCAACAGGTACGCGAGCGCGCGCCAGGGCGCGGTGGCTGGAGGCCGGGCACGCAGAGGCAGGCCGGGAGCGGGGAGCGACAAGTTGGCTTTCCTCTCTTCCCGTCCCCTTCTTCCTCGGCTCCCTTCTCGCGCCAGGAGCGCCGGGCCCCTCGCCTCCAGGCCCCATCTCTCCTTCCAAGTGTCAGGTCGGCTCTTTCTTTCCTCCTCTCTCGACTCCTTAAGCGCATCTTGCCACGCTCTCCGGTGGGATGGCTCCGGGGGGACTTTGGCCTCCGTCACCCCCACCGGCGCCGCAAGTAAACACAATGCAAGTAAAAAGTGTGCTTGCTCGGAGTGCGTGGTTGCACGCTCCGCCCCAGAATTCTCATCTATCGCGGGTTCGAGGCAAGTCTCCCGTCCTATTCCAAGCCGTCTGCTGGTCCTAAGTCGCCACTGTCCCCAAACCCTCTTCGTCCTCAGTGGCACTTCCCTCGTTTCTGTTCCTCGTTCTCTGGCGCAGGGGGCGCCTCTCTGGATTGCCTCCCCCTCCAGGTTTCCGCGGGGGCGCTTTCCTCTATGGCCCGCGCACTTTGCAGTTTTCCTCTGCTTTGCCAACTTCTTTACTCCTTCTGCAGCGAGGTGTCCCGTGTAAGGAGCTTGGCCTCTTCTTTACCAGAAGGTTGGAGCTGGGATGAAGCGGAAGGTGCCCCCAAAGTGGGCTGGGATCTGAGGCTGCTGGGGAAACCCCAAGGGGAAACCTTAATAGAAGAGCATTTATTGAGCTCCTTCTGAGTGCTAGGCCCTACAATGCTTCGGGAAGGAATGTTTGAAAGCTTGCGGTACGCTAGGCACTGCGAGCTGGTGGCGTGGGGCGTATTGAACCCCCAGGGTGTTTGCTACCTGAGGGAGAAAGGCGCTGAGCATCTTCTGTGCACTAGGCCCTTGGGGTTGGGGATTTATTGAGCACCAGCTGTGCGCCTAGGGGGGCAGACGTGTAAGGGATTGACTTCTCCGATTCTGGAACAGAGCGGAGCTGCAGAGAATGGGGAAGGGGAGAAAGATCAGCGCGAGCCCACCATACGTGGGTCTAGGGCTGGAAGGTGAAGGTCGAGGCCGAGAAAGCCGGCGGCCCCGGGTGCCACGACCGCGCAGATGCCGAGCGCTCGGCCGCGGCCGAGTCCTGGCCGAGCCCCGCCGTGCGCCGGCACCCTGGGAAGCTGGCGCGGCGCCCGCGGAGAGAGGCGGCAGCCGGAGCGTGGGGGGTGACAGCGCCAGGGGAGCTGCGGGGGTGCGCAGGGTGTGAGCCGGGAGCGCGGGCGACAGATGTCGCGTGGGCCGGCGCAGCATCGGCGCTGGCGAAGAGAGGTGCGTGCTTCGGGGCGCTCTCTGCCCGGCCCCTGGAGGCCCCATCTGGGGAGGGGGGCTGCCCTCCGCTGGAAGGGGTCAGGCAGGGGCTGTCGAATCCCAGAGGCAGGAACCACCTTTTGGACGCGGCGCGCGGGATGGGGGTGGGGCAGAAAAAGGGAGTTGAGCGAGAGGCGCCAAGCCCAAAGCGTGGAATTTACGGAAAGGCGGACAGAAAGTGGAAAAAGAGGGAAATAAAAAGCGGGCGGCGAGACCAGGGAAGAAAACACGGGGGAGCTGGAGAAAAAAGAGAGACTGCTTGGAGGACAAACTGCAACATACTGGGGAATATGAATTAGAAGGAAGACGCGAGCAAGTGGAACCCAGGCAGAGGGCCGGGACGCCGCTTCCCGCGGCCTTGGGGTCCAGGCGGGGCTCGGAGAGCGCTCCCGGCCCCGGACGGGGCGGTGCGGGATGCTGAGCGCCCACCCCCGGGGGGGCGGCGGAGAACAGGCCGTGTGCGCGTCGGGGCTGGGGTGCTCCGGGCCCCGGGGTGGAGGCGGCCGGGAGGTGGCGGGAGACTTCCGAGAGCGCGCGCGGGGAGGACGGAGTGCGCGCCTGTGCGCCCAGGCCGGGAACGGGGGGCGGGGGTTGGAGCTGGGAGACCCGCGCCCACGCAGCAGGGGAGGGGGTCCGACTGGAGCTTTCTGGGCGCGGCGGCGGCGCATAATTGTCGGTGTGGAATATATCGCCCCCTCCTCACCTCGTTTCTGCCCCCAGAGTTCCGGGCCGCTTCTCGACTCCAGGCCATCCTTGGGTTCTTCGTTCCCCTCCCGAGTCCCGCCCGGCCTCCCCGGCAGCCACACCCTCCCGAGCTCTCCCTCCTCCGCTGCCCTAACCCCAGGATGCCCGCGGCGTTCCTCGTTCCCGCCGCGCCGCGCCTCGCTCCCTCGCGTGGCCTGGGGTTCGCCGGGCTGGGGCTCCCAGCCTCCGTCTCTATCGAGAAACTCGCGTCCTCCGCCCGCCACCTACGAGCTGCACCCCGGGACCTTCCGTGTGCGTTTGGCTTACCTGGGGGGACACCCATCTTTTCCCGGCCTCTCCGGCGAGTTAGGAAGAGGTGAAAGAAAATCCACCGGAGAAAGACAATTTGTTGAGTTCCGCATGTGGTCCTCTCCGCCCTTCTTGCCCGAGAGGGGAAGTGGGGATGCGCACAGGATGCCTTAGGTATCTGAGGGAGGCCGTTCTTTTAGACGTTAAGGGTGCACTTGGCTATACGCAGGACAGCACTTTCAACAAGCTTATTTAGAGCCTCTACGGTGTACTTTTCTCCGAAGTCATCATGAAACAGACACCTCAGACTCAGTTTTCCCGTATGTAAAATGGGGACAATAATAGCCCTTAATGGCAAGGTATTGTCAAGAGGGTAAAATGAATTCACCTAGAGTTCTAGAACAGTGCCAGAGGCATAAGAAGCAGATATAAAGGTAAGCCATCGTGCTTACGATTGCGCATTTAGTACCCTTCTTTCCCCCAAACAGACAACACTCTGTTGTTAGTCGGCAATTTTCCACCATCCCTACATGTTCTCTTGGGGAATCAGAGCCAGAGCGGCCAGGACAGTACAAAGGTAAAGAGCATGGGTTTAGGGATCAGATGGGGCTGGACCGAAGTCGCAGCCCAGGAACTTGCTGGCACTGTGACCTTGGGCAGGAATCATAACCTTTCTGAGCCTTTATCTGAAAACGGGAGCTGTATCTCTTCTAGAGTGTCAAGGAGGTTAATAGGGGAGCATCCATCTAAAGTACCCAGAGCAGCGCCTGGCATTTAGTTCACTCATCAGAGGCTGTTATGGAACAGGCAGTGCCATGCTTATTATTTCAAAGGGGAAACGGAGGCAGAGAGAGTTCACCTGAGTCCCAAAGGGCTGGTAGCAACATCAGAAATGGAATTGGGAGTTTCTGTCTCTGAGCACACAGCCCCCCTCCCACCCCCCAGATGACTTGGGGCGGGGCACGGAGGAGAAGACACTGGCAGAAAGCACAGGGGTGTGATGAGTCACGAATTCCTGCACTAGCGACATTCTCTTTCTCTGAGAGCCTCAGGGGAGGCTCCTTGGAGGCTGAGGAGGCCAAGAGGAGATGGGTGTGATTTAAGCAGTCACTGCAAAAGGTTCCAGAGAGCGGGAACAAAAGATGCTCTCTGGTGAGCACTGGCTGGTGGGGGAGGGGAGGGAGGCAGAACTGTGCCTTGGGAGGGGACCGGGAGGGAGAGAGAAAGCAGCTGGGGAGTCTGGCTGGGAGAAAGGGCCAAAGCGGGGGCAGACTCTTGCCTTGGGACTAAGAAGAAGGAGAGAGAGAGGACTCTGCAGGCCCAAGAGGCGACCTGGTGGGCGACAGGGAAGATAATGGGCCAGCAGCAGCCCGCTTTAATGAATTAATGACAGCCTGGCCTGCCAGAATGAAGTGCTAACTGGTTCTTGGCAGGTACTTTGGGGACTAAGTGGTTAAACCTGGAGGCGCATCCCACCAGCCTCCCACCCAGCCACCGAACCCCTGCCAGGATTACTTCTAGAGCTTGAAAGCCTAGGCCAGGGGAGGGAGCAATCCAAAGAGAAGGAGACAGCTGTTGGGGAGGTACCCCCCGGGAAGGGGCCAGATGTGCAGGACCTTAGCAGCCTTCCCACCACATGGGTCCTGTCTGGAGTCACCCGCTTGCCTAGTGAGAGGCCAGGGCACAAGTGGCTGAACTGTCAGTGTAAAAACAGCTGTAGCCGGGGATAATGAACTACACCCCAGATGTGGGCTGGGTGGGTTGGCAGTTTCTGGGTTTTGACAGTAGGCTTTTCAGACCTACCCTGGGGGTGGAGGGAGTGAAGTGGGGGCTTCTCTTTCCCCTCTGGTCATCACCAGTGTGATGTGTGATCGGATTTCATGGGAACAATGGGATGCCCCACAGTATGTGACTTGCTTGTCACATAGTCGGTATACAATCGCGGTGTGATGAAGAAATGAATCAATCCGAAACTATTCGAGATGAATAGTCATTCTTCGTTATTGAGTACCTACTACTGCATGAAGGGCATTGTGGACACAGGGAAGACCGAGACAAAGAAGTCCCTGCCCTTTAGGGGGAAGAGGCAGATGATAAGTTCAGAAAGATCGTTCTGGTTATTATTGCTGTACAAAGAATTACTGCAAAGCTCAGTGGCTTAAAACAATGATCTGACCATGCTTATACATTCTGTGGGCTAGGGGTTCAGATATGGCATAGCGGGGGTGACCTGTCTCTGCCCCAGGCTGGTCGGGGGCTGGAATCGTGGTGGGCACGGGATGGAGGTAGTGGGGATGTTCACTTCACCTCCTGTGTGGCCTGGGCTTTTCCAGAGCCAGCCAACCTGGTGACTCCGAGCTCCAGGATCACGTTTTCCAGGGGACCCAGGGGAAGCTGCTTTGCCTTTTCTGACCCAACTTCAGAAGTCACTTAAAGTTAGAAGTCACAGGGCAGCCCATATTCAAGGGGAGTGGCAAGCAGACAGGAGATAAGGTGGCCATTTTTGGATTATGCAATCTAACACAGAGATAATTTCAGAAAGTGCCAAGGACTCTGATGGTGTTACAGGAAGGTCATGTAATAGAGAGCCCGGGGGACTCCCTCCTTACCTGCGGTGGTTAGGGATGGCC